AGATGCCGAAAACGGTGACAATGAACAAAATTACCAGTTGTAAGCGGGCCATTGCAATGAAAATTTTCACGTTTCCATATAAACTCCACTTTTTTTCCAATGAAGCGAAAAAGCCAAATTCATCCTATATAACGGCCAAAACAAAAATACTATCCAGTATAATATTGATGTATATAAATATGTATAAGATTGCTACCATAACCTATGCAATATTATCTCTTCACGATTCGATTTGGTAAAATACTTTGTAACGTTACTTTATATAAGAATCGCAAGAATGTCCTATGTTACCAAGTGGCTACTAACATTATGTTCTTCGACACACCAGATTTAATAGACACATTAATAAATAATAATAGGCGAAGTTTAAATCAACTTCACTTCGAAATATTATATCTCTAAGTTTACGAAAAATGTGATTATAAAAAGTTATTATAAAAAATGGTAGAAAAGTTGCATCGGGCTGAATATATGGAGCAGGAAAAAGCACCGGTCAAAACAAGCAAATAATGATAATATTGGTGATGTCTTATCTTATATTATATCGAAGGGGCATTTTTGCCTATTTTTCTAAAATGGAAAGTATTACATATTGTTCCTAAAGCTAAAAAAAATGAAATACCTTAGAGAAAGGCAGCGAAACGTCTATACTAATGAGACATACACACGTATATGCTTTCATTCTATTTGTATACATTAATGCATGTCTGCGTGGAAGCAGGTATACATCATAGCAATACGATCCTATTGTTGCTCCGGGGTTGTGACTAGGATGAATGATGATCCGGCCTAAAGTTGGCGTTTCGTGCAATTCGACGGAAAGCACAAACGCCACTCTAGTGAAAAAGGTGCGGAACTATGATTTTTGCAGATTACACCTTCGTGTACAATTGTTATGGACAACTAATATAACAATTCTAACATCAATAAATTAACCGCGTTTTCTGCCTGACCTACTTCTGTGTTACGTTTCCTGTCTATCTAGATATTTGACTAGCTATTCATTGAAATGTCAGCAGCTTTCATCAAAACAATAAACTATACAAGACTGACATTCGATCAACACGACATTGATCAGTCCCGCAACATTAACCTGGCTCGTTTATTACTCCAACAAAAAGTGATTATTGACTTCAAAGAGGTAGCGGTGCTACTGTATATAGTCTACGTAATAACGCCACAGCTGAATCCGTACACGCTGAACACTTTTTTTTGTTTGTGGAACTGACAAACTGATCAGCTTGTGAATGAAACTCTCATACAGTGACGCAGAGATATAACGAAATAGATATCGTACGAATGAACTGCCAATTATATTTTTGCTGTTTCATAAAATCTGGCCTCGTCCCTAAAAGAAACAAGTCGTTTAGTGGGATGATTTCATTGTCACGAATTTGATCTGTACCGAAAAACAGATTCGTTCAGAAGTAGGCGAAAAGTCTGAAAAAACGATGCAACGACGGAACGACCTACGCACAACTGAAAAGCGTATGGCATACTGCAGACCACAACAGCCTCTGGCAATTCGTCCGACGGCGCACCAAAAACCCGTATTCGGTACGCGTACAGATCCGTTCTCGCCCTCAGGGGACATGAAGAACGTCAATATTCAATTGAACGCTACAAACAACAGAATTATTATTTCATACATCCACCATCATAGACCCCATTGCCTGCTACCGATCAAAGGGGATAAATACGGCTGAGTCAGCTTGCAAAAATGAAAGTATTGATTACCTTCCGCGACAATTAGCCAGAAAGTATGGGTAGTGCTTTGCAAGTACAAAAAACGTTTAGTAATTGGTAAATAGATGTCATTGTTAAGCGTAGATGTTAGTCACTTTTTTCGAATTTGCATTACAAACATGAGTCGTGCACACTAAAGCTAGCTTTAAAATAGCAGCATTATCCTTCAAGTAATACTATTTGAAGTGCTCATAGTAATCCTCACATGTTGTGTTGAATAAATGTAAATTATATATATAAAGGAAGCTAGTTATTACCAAAACCAACTTAACGTTATAAATATATTCTTCTATAAAGTTATTCCGAATAAATATATTCTTTCTTCTAACGCGGTTAGTTACCAGCAGTACTTCGGTCACTTCTTTTTTCTGTTTACGGCTTCTAGTTGATTGGCGACAAAATCAAACAGACATGTTACATTTACACGCCAGACATCCACTTGCAACATTGTACATGCGCCTGCTGCACGTTCTGTCTGCTCTAGTATTGTAAACAAACCGGCCGCCATTAACAAGAACAGCGCGCGTATTTGGATCAAGCAATTATTTTCGATGGGTACGCGACCGTAACAGACGCCAATAACCCTATTGAATCATAGCCGCATTATTATTGACGATGACACTGCCCGCTGCGTCTTGTCGCGCTTGTTCTACCTCGGGTAGCGATTAAGTAGTATATAAGAATGGTTAGTAGTTTAATTTAATTTGCATCCATTCATTGTGTTCAAGTTTCAGTCTGCATGCAAAATAACCGAAGTCAATGACCAGACATTACACGGTGTATCGCATGTCCTTATGCCCGTGCATTTCGCCATTATGCACGGCCTAACGATACCAGTGCTGTATTGTCGACGCTTGTTTTTATGGCATAGTATGCACGTGTCGTATACATGTATGCTTTATTATTTCTACAAGTCTGAAAGTACTATTGCAATTGTGATTTCTACAATGATTGTTCTGATAATATCGTCGCCCCGAGTGACAAACGTCGTCAGCGTTAGTTATGTCAGATGCCCCGAAGTCTGCACAACAGCTTCATATGGTGATGATCTTTTCGAGCGATGTTGTGAAGCCCCCGTTGGCTATGAGTTCTTGCTTCATCAGCTTTAATTGTTTGGTATTGTATATATATACATAACTGTACCGCTGGTAATTGGTACAGTCATATATATAAGTGAGAACCTGAGGCCTGAGGCGTATAGTTAAAATATCTAGCTAGCCGTCTTCTTTGTCGAACGGCAATTACTAGCTGGAATGCATTAAAAATGAGGAAAGTAGTGATCTGACGTTATATTAGTCAGAGATCTTCGCTGTTCACAGGATCACCAGAGCCTTTGTTACTCTACTTCTGACTGACCTTAAAAGATGATTTTAATATTAATGCATTGGACACTGAGTAGGACCTACGAATGGATTAAGTGTTGTTCAGATGGTTTGTCAACAGGTATGCATAAAAAAGTCATTAAAAATAAGAAGATCACCTTAATCCTTGAAATGGTTCCAAATACTTCACCATAGTTCCGTTTGGCATATTACAATCATTTTGATATTGCTATTTTACAGGCGAAAAATACGGGTCTGAAGTATTCTGTAATTATAGATTATGAACGGAGTAGTGGTCCAAAATTAGCTTGCGAAATGCTGACTGCTTAACTTTTCGATAGAGCCGACCAGCGTGCTACTGTTTTCTAATAAGGTGCAGCCTTGCAGCGCATCGAGTTCAGCTTTCGTGAAGATTCACCAAGACGAGCCAATTCATACAACGTTCACTCTCTTTTAAGTTTTCCTCATAATCTAGGATCACTCGATGCTTATGTGGCAGCAAGAACACACCCGCTAACGAATCTTTGAGATCTTTATTGAGTCACAAATCGCTTCCTATAGACCATTCGATTTGAATTTAGCAAACGCCCAAACCCATTTATGATTTTGTCGCCTGTGGTCACTTGACGAGTCAGGGTCTCAGAGTGATATTGCGATACGTGTCCACTCAGATTGAGGACAACAATTCACCTTCTGTTACCCTGAACAGTCATCATTGGCCTGAGGAACGTATCGGCCAGGCCATGGATTTCTCTATCCTGCCTTAGCGATCGTAGACTAAACGCACTATACGTACATTCATGCATGCGCTTTCAATCTAATATAACTTTTTTCACTATGTAGAGTCTGCCATGCACCTATGAAAACCAAAAAACATACGTAATGCTACGTAATGATAGCTTTGTTTACTGGATCTCAAGCATTTTACGATAGCAGTCAAGCGGTGTCCACCGAGTTACATTACCAATTTTCTATTTTCATGACGATGTGCATAATATAGAACTTTTAAGTTTATAGTTTTAAGCTTTAACTAATATAGAACTATAAAGTCACTTGATATCAACTCATTGAAATCAAATGATTCAATGATTAATTATTTCAGCGTTTTTGGCAATGTCGAGTGTACAATCAGATTTGTCTGATTCTAATACCTTGCTTACCACATCAGACGATTGTAAATGGCGCGCAGCGCCATTACAACAATTGGTAAGAAAAAATTAGTGGTAAATTGTTAGGTAAAGTTTTTGACTGCCTGCGCTGGGGGCATCTAATCGTCATTGTTCGAATCCGGACATAGACACTTCTCGTTTTGTACCGGGAGCTAGCAGTGTGATGAAAAGCCTAACGACGATGTCGGACAAAAATGCTTAGATGAGGTAAAAACAAATGTCGATGTGAATATAAATGATGTTGGAAGTTAGCGCTTAGAGAAAATTAAATCGACAACAATTACCATTATCAGCAGCAGCATTGCTGTGGTTAACAAGACAAGCTCAAGAAGTAGCGGACCCATCAATGTCCGCGTTGCAGTAGTTCATTGTTGTAACGGTTACGTCGCTGTGGTGTGAACCAATCCTATAGGCGACCAACGTCATGTTGCCTGTGTGCGTTGACTCCTTTCCGTCTCCGGCTCAAGAGGATTTGTCACGACAGCTATACAACAAGTACGTAAGTCCTGTAAATAAGGGCTTCTTGGCTGTGCGTGCGCGATTGTATGCGACAATTTCTGCACGAAAAAACAAGCGCATTGATGGCGGTCTCGTTTAAGTCGTTCACCATAGCTCTAACGTATTATGCTGGCCCATCGTAGAGCGGAATCATCACTTCAGTTTCAAAACTGAAAATCACCAAATAACTTTCAGCATGTCTAAAGTGGGATACATGCGTTTGACAACCTTAATGCGTCAACAAGCATTAATGGCCTCTATTGATACTGATAAATAATATGTAGTAACAGGGCTACACCCAATGTATAGGTAGTAGGTCCCATGAATAGAAAAAATAGTCCGCCATACAATGAAAATACCAGTCATTATTCGTTGGCATCGTCTATTTCCTAGTAGCCAGGATTGCTATTTCAGTATCTCGTTACTGAAAACGTACATCTAATAAGACTTTTCATTATATGATAAAATACTGAGATAAAGTCGGTGATTCTGCAACTTAATCGAAATGCTGCGTGCCATTGGGACATTCGCTGCAATTTAGATTTTGCGGGTTAGATCAATTCTGTCGTACATACCGTTCATGTTGTTTTCTTCTAGGAGATCTTTGCTATTTATTTAAAGAATTTCAGCCCTATATCATCATATTGTATGTGTCTCGTACCTGTTGGTACGTACCGGTACTCAGACCAGTGTGTACTAAACATGGCAAATGGCAATTTCCTGTCCCACAAATTCGCAAGTTTGCTAATGCATTTCACATTATATCTGTATCAGGATCATTTTCCTCAACTATATATCATATATTATTTAAACCGGACGAAGCACTTAACAGCCATTCAGTGGGTCTGCCAGTTTTTCAGTTTAATGTCATCGGAAAGGGTTATCGTTGCAACACTTCTGGAGCGGCCTCAATAACGGACTCGTTAAAAAAAAAACTCACTATCTGCCATGCTGCGGCCAATCTGAAAGGCCCCTGATACTTTTCGTTTTCTCTGTGGCAACTTGTGTAAGTTGGTGCCCCAAAAAGCAATCCTCAAGTCGTGCTCCTCACTTCGAGGCTATGACGTCAAGCACGAAGATTTCTGTCGAGGATTAGTGCGTTCACTCGGAGCTTTCCCAACAGGCCCGCTGCACGGTCAAACATCATCTACTATCCTCATGGCGGCTTGACTTTGCGGTCCTAGCTTCCACCCTCGTCCTATCCAAGGGATAGCGGTTCTCCTTAACGAATCTACCGAATCCCATCACAGCCAGATGACGTAAATATACTCCGGAAAACAGATGAAAGTCGCGATACGATAGCCAAAGAGATACAACATGTGTATTAAAACGCAAATCGCATAAAATAACACAACTGACGTTGTGCCGTATATATATGTATGGTTGGCGTCATTTTCAGCTTTTATATATACGCAGATAATTATAGACTTGCTTTTATCGAATCGTGCTAACTCATACGATGCGCAATGTCGATTCAGGCACAGTGATTATCATCGATACAGCTTAGGTATACCCTACCCTATACCTAAATAAAAATGTCATACGTCACTTTAGTCCTTCAGGTAGCCGCTGGAAAGCCGGTGGTAAAGTCGTATAAGCCTTTTTACATCTTGGATGGAGAGGCCAGCGAAGCTAAAGCCGTCATTCAATGATTGTCATGGATCTGAGAGAAAAGCGGCGGGGGGAGGGGTAAGCGGCGGATAGCAGCGAGAGGGCTCGAGGATCTGGGTGGATCAAACTGTCACCGAAGTTGTCCCGACACTGCTGACAGCGCCTATCCGTTCACCAACAGATACCTACCCATTATGGCACTCGTTGAATGTGGATGACCGCGAGGATGCTGGTATCGGGTATCCCCTTCATAGTTTTGCTAAGAAAAGCTGACGCTGGTTACTGATAATGCAAACGATCAAACGCTCTTAGACTTGATAACATCAACATAGACGACTGAAGTTGTATTATAGAGGCGTCTGTTGAGATAACGGAGCATATCAAATATATAGAATAACTAACACATTTTAGTACTTGATGAAGATAGATTGTATAGTAAATCATATTATATAAATTGTATTAATGACAGTAGTTGTAACTAAATAGTTCTCAGTAGAATAATTTGAATTCGAAAATCGTTAAAGCTTATTAAAGACGAAAAGTTGTCTACAGACATTTTCACAGTAGGGTTGTCCTTTAAGCCTTCAATCTAGTAACTGAATGAAAAGGTCCACATTATAATAAAACCGTGTTCACCAAAGACCACTTCAACAATACGGAATTGTGTTTTTTATTCGCTACAACATTGTTTTTCCTATTCCCTTTCGACGAATGAATTGGAAACACCGTATTACAATTAATAGCTCGTATAGGACAATTGAATAAAGTCAAAGTCATTACCCACAAAATAAACGTAAACAATTCTTTCGGAGCGCACAAAGTGCATGGGGCGTTCATTTGCTCCACGTTTCGATACAGATTGTAGTCACGACAGTACGAAATAAGATTGAGTCCATTAAACATATCGACCACTTTGTACAAAATTGTCAAATAGAGCAGCTATTGCCAATAGCATCAAACACTATGATGTATCAAGATTTTCACATATTCAACAGTTTTTCGTGTCAACCAGTAAAATATAGAATTCGGTTAAATTGTTGTTAAATTCGGTTTAACAAAAAACTGAACGTGGTGTCATTTCCATTGATATCATGCTTACATTTTGAAATACCCGGTTTCAGGTAGAACACAGCCCTTAACAGTAAAGATTCATTGGACAGAGTTTTTATCGGTCACAGTCGACCACTTCATATTCTGAAGCATTTGTCTTATTTTGAAAGCCCCTATCTAAAGCACAGCTGTGCAGAAAAAGGTACTTTAACAAATCGTAGAATTCGTTCCACGTGGAGAGAGTTCACTAGGCGCCCAATTTAGCGGCTTAACTACTCGGCCACATTGCCTTTGTGCCATGTAGTCCGTCCAAAAATAAAACATTTCGCTCATATCTATGTCATACATTCTTAAATACATACGGAATTATTTTACTAATTTGGGAATTGTGTGTATCGCATGACGAGGTGGCCGAGTGGTTAAGGCGTTGGACTGCTAATCCAATGGGCTCTGCCCGCGTGGGTTCGAATCCCATCTTCGTCGTGAACATTTTGCTCTAAAGGTTTAACTCCTCATTTCTTTCGCTCGCACAAATCAAGCTGTGTCGAAATCAAGCTATATATTATTATGGCAGGCGTAATCGCTCAACACACGTAAACCAAAATATTGGATGCAAAAACAAAACGGTCATTGTTTCCATTGCCTTTTCATAGTTATCTAAAAAGAAAGGATACATTAGTTTTATTCACACAAATTCTTTATCTCAAAAACTTCCGATTAAACTGCAATCTCACATGAAAAATATTTAGGAATACAAACATATATTTGATGCTTACATATATACAAAAATACAACTTTCGATAGTATATTATTAGTATGCTACAGGATGCATCAGCCGGCTGATAGCCGCAAAAAACGTTCTAGCTTTTATGTAAAACGTATCATTCAGATCGCGAGATATTGCGAATTGCGGTCGATAGCTACAATAGTTGGGCGAATAACACGGCACCAAGTTACTATATGCCTATGATCGTTACTATGTTTGGCATTGTGCATCTCTAAACGGAAACGACGTTTAAAGGTACACATAGTGACTGTGCGGAAAACAACGCAAATTTAGATTATGTCCAAATCAGATGTTCTAGAACAGTGTAATTAGATTTATTAAACAACTAATAAACAAGCTACTTATTTTCTCTTAATATATGTTCAAGCTCATATTAATGTTGTTTATGAAATTTATTTTTAACCGTAATTTGATTATTTTTAAAATTATACTAATATGTTACATAGAACCTCTTTAGGCTGAGCTGATTATCTTTCTAAATCCAAAATTTTCCGTAAGACCCATTCAGATAGTTTTAAATGAACAATAAACATACGGCACTCCACAACCGTCCTCTGTTTGTTTAGAATTTAAGTTACGATTTTGCTTCTATCGTTTATCTACCTAGAGGATTCGATAGCCACTCTACAGCCTAATCAGGTACGTCACACAAAATGCTTGTGTTCAATAGCAATCCTAAGGAAATACCCGTTTATTAGGCAACTAAAATTTAGGGAGCACCTTAGGTCTGTCGAACTGCTTTTAAACTTTATAAACAGAAATATTTAAATATATCAATACAGTCGGGCTCTTTTTGTCGCATTTTTTTAACTGTCGGCCTTGTTTTATATTTTTTTTTTGTTTACTATTAAACTACCTATCGCATGCTTCTTTTTATCTTTACAGCAGCAAGGTAAATATATTTACAAACATGGTGTGAAATCTTGCTGCACTAGAAATTAATGTACCTATCTTAGGCATTGAAAAGGCCATATGGCCTTCAGAGTAAGCCACAGGAACAACGTTAGGTGTGTTAACTGTGTATACTAGTACTTGACCGTCAATGGATATGATCCTAAACAAAAAGAAAGACACAGAATAGAAATGGCCATTCGCTCGCCATTTAGATATTATATGAAGACATAGATTTACACCTTCAATCAGCTTCAACTACTGTAGTAAGGCAAGCAGAATGGCATAGTAACCTATGCCTTTTTCATTTCTGGGAATTCATACGCTCACCGGTGAACGTCTGCTTTTACTCCCTATGGAACTGCGCGTTTTGGCTAGCAATTTGTAAAACGAATTTAGATGAACCTACAAAAGACTATGAAAACCCATTATTTGGAATCTGACTGTGTTTGAAATATGCCAAATAATACATCCGATAATTGATATGCACGTTAAAATGGCAACGATAAGCGTACAACGTTTTTATTTGCTATTTAAAATTTATTTGGCGATTCAGAACTTTTTGTTGGCCCTTTTACTGTATTCGTCATTGCGAGAATCATTGAAGTATTGACGCCCAATATTATTTCACTTGTTAAACAATGATTGATCTTAGATCGCTTGCCTGATGATTTATTATCGCTCTAGCCAAATATCGAGAGTAAAGGACATACTTGTGTTTAAAGCGGACCAAAAAGCCAAAACACCGAGACAATCTTGAAAGGCGAAAACGGATTATCGTCTAAAACGTTTTAGGCATGTGATTTGAAATAGAATCAGGCTGATACCGGTCATACATAGCTTTCTCCTTATAGCGAGTAGTCTATCGGTAACACATGGTCAATCGTCATACGAATTTCATCATATCCAATTTTCTATTGATAATGTACAATGAATAATATAACGGAAATTTTAATCACAAGCACCAAAAAACGTTATTGAGAAGTCTTTGTTTAGATTAAACGACCGTAATTGCTCTAGTTCATTGTTCTCCATATTATATTAGTAAATCGTCTCCATTTTTAAAGAAAAACAAAGATATTTGCATCGACTGCAAGAGTACAACGTCAATGTATATATATAATGATTAAAAAAGTACATACATATATTACTTCAGGAGTAACTTAGAAGTAACTAATAAGAGGCGTACTATTTAAATATGCTCTATGACGCTCTATAGCGCGTGAATATACATTCACCTTTATGTTTTATTTTAGCGTATATGTATATATACATTACTGAAATATTTACGTAAACTGCAATCAGTTATCTGCATTACTTAAATCCTTTCAGGTAATATTCATATAGATGAACCAGATACCTTTTGAATCATACTCAATGTAAAATAAACAAACCTGGAAATAATAATTTCTATTAAGAGAGTTTCTAAAAATGCTTATTTCATAGGCTTCCTTCCAACCACAAAAGCAGCACATCTTTCATTCAGCGCAAGTAATTTTAATGAATACCTTTACACACGCTAATAACTGAACAGGGTGTAGTGCTATACAGCTATCTGCTAATCCCTAAAAATACATAACATAACATAAAAAAATCAAAGCATTTTCTCAAAGCACTTCTCTGAAGAAGCCTCAAACAGGATTTTTCATTTCTCTTCGGAGCGTAACAATGCTTATTTTTTCTCGGCCGTTCTGGCACACACGCAGTCTTCGTAGCTGAAGCGTACTTCCAGGGAATTATGACATCTACAATTACAACTGCCTCCAGTTTTCGATCTTCAGTCGTTTCCACTCACGCTTGTACAATTTTCGTGCAATTGTGTACACACACAACGCTCCATACAGTATCTATTACTTCAAATATACATCATATATTGAAAAATTAGCTGAGAGCATTCATTAAACAAACTCAATTAACGCTCAGAAGAAAAATAAATAATATTAACAAATCGCAAGGTTCAATTTAATTGGAAACATGTAGAATACACGGTTGCGGATTCGGCCGACGGCCTAATCAAAGAAAAAAATAAATACGCTTGATATTTATTCTGGCTAATGTTCGACTGAAGTCGAAACAAAAAATCGGTAACTTCCTTTTTTTTTTTTTTCGTTTCGTACTTCAGTTTGCTCTACGTACCTGTAGCATCTATACAGACATGCGAACAAAATCACATCAATGTCAAATCTAGTTATCATATGCGTAACTCAGTCATCGTCGTCATTTTCGTGGTCTGTATTTTTTATATTTCGATTCTCTCGATTTTCCCTGACAATTTTTGGAACAGTAGACGGATCCGGCAAATATCCGTGGTCAACAAGAAATGACTCGATTTCAACAGAGTCAAAGTCGTCACCAAACTCATCCGATAGACGAACAAAATTGCCGATGAGATTTCCACCTCTATAGATAACAAGGGCTGGCACACCATACTTCTCGAAATACGATGTCATTCCAGCCGCCTCTGTAGACATCACACAGAACTTATACAGAGGATACTCCTAAATTGACACAATACAGGGGGTACATTAATTATAATCTGTAAAAGTTTTCTCATCATATACGAGTGTATGTATCAAAATTCGATACGAATTTAGTAATCGGCCCAATGGGTTAGTTCAAACATTCATATTGGAAGACATCAAGGCCGTTTATATTAGAAAGTATAGTTGTGCCATCGGTTTCCTACCTCAGCTAAAGTATTCAGGCAGGCGTTGAGTGCATCGCAGCCTTTACTGCCAGGCCCGTAAATATGTACGAAAACGGTGGTTTCCTTATGCTCATGATCGATAGCGTCAAGGAAGAATTCACTGCTCCGAAGAATCTGAAGTTTGCCAAACTTCGGTCGATCACCATGGCTCGCAGCAGATACCATTTCCTGCATTCGCTGTGAAATATACTCTAACATCATCTGCAACATAATGAAAAGCAACAGGCGTCGCTATAACTTCAGAAATGTATAGTAGTAGGAGTAAACCGTACAAAGGTGAAACAGTTTGTGTACACAAACAATCTTGTCAGGCAATGGCAACATCTGTTAAAGCTAAATTTCGTAGTAAAATAGTACGAACTTAACTTATTAACATGCGTGTTATCCGCTCTACGAGCGTCAAGTTGGCATACCTCGTCAAGCTCTTCAAGGTTTTCGGCCTCCGCAGCTACCTTTTCTCGCATTCGTCTCTCTTCCGATTCGGTAGCACAAGTTAACGATAATCGCTTCATTAACGCCACTCGTTCGGCTTCATCCTCAGCACGACGCTCACTTTCTAGCTGCTTATATCGTTGCCAATCCTTTAGTACACCTGACGAGTCACAGATCAAAATGTACATGAGGAAGTTTCAGCCGGACTATTTTTTATTTTGCACTTTATTACAATAGTGAAATTCTTCATCTATAGATTCGCTTGTTAAAGAAGACGGTCTAGCACATGTGTGTGTATATGTATAATAAATTAATGTATGTATACTTGTATATATATATGTAGAGAGAGAGAGAGAGAGGGAAGAAGAGGAGAGAAAGAGCTCAAAGTTGACAAGAAGTTCGCTTAGAGAAATTTACATGGAAATCCTCTACGTACCAGTATATTTTTAGGCTTTTTAAATTTATTAAAAAATTATACATATATATAGACATTTTTGGACGTATCAACAGTAATTACAATTAGAGGAACTTCTTAAAATGAAATTCGTTCATGACTCAATAACAAAATTTCATATCAATAAGCACTGCAAGAAGTCAATTATGCTTTTTTATGCTGCGTGCACAGAAAGCCAACAGCAATACGTGTGTTCCAATACAGTTATGTCAAAGGTGTGTTTTACAAAATCAAGGTAAAAATGGCAACAATCTTTGTGAATGTGTTGAGTAACTAACTACCTTTTGGTCCCGTGTTGGTCGACTCTGCCCCCCAGCGACCGTGGGTTAGCGGGCATTTGTCCTTCAGATCTTCGTCTTTAACGAGTTTGACCCCCCCTTCATCCGCTTCATCTTCGGAAGAACTGCAGTAGTAATCTAATTTCTCACCCAAAAGTTTATCTTCAAGGCTTGCCATCGTTTTTGTAGAATAACAAAATTTTACTAATGTTTTGTTACACCTCTAGGTCAAACGCCTTTACGATGAATAGCCGTATCTGGATGGATGTAACAATATGATACCTGTTTATTGAATAAAGGATTACTCTGTCAGTAACTAACACTATTTTGCGCTGTTCTAACTTAGCACATGATCCGTGCTATCTGGCGATTTTAAAAACATTTAATTCAAACGTCCACTGAACGGGATTGGTTCTCTAAATGCAAAGCAAATCCCACTCGTGCCTTTGTTCAAGAACGCCGACGCAGTGTAATGATAGACGATGATTAAAGGTAATACATCGGTTAGTGTTGAAATGAATGAAACAAGGCACGTTTTTACATAAGATCTTTAATAACTAAATGTATACGAGGACTGCGATTCGTAGTTGTCAACATGAATAGTCATTTTTTAAACTTTATTCACGAAAAAAGGACAAACAAGCGACTTGGCTGTGATAATAATAATAAGGCATAAAAATACTATAGTTTAATTAATACGATAGTTTTATTTGGTGTTTATATAAAGGGGTACTGTATGATAACTCTATAATAAAGAAAAAAAAAAACCGATACGCTCTACTGTTATTTACTTCACAATATTCGACACATAAATCATTGAACCACAAGTATACAGATAAAAACATAATGAGCGAAAAGCTAATGATTATCTAAAATTTTCTCTTAATCTCTAACCAGAATCGCCGCTCTAAACTATTGTTTGACACACGATAGGTAATTGTAATTCACTCATCGGGATGTCCTATTTTTTTTACTGCATCTAAAGGGTACCATTTTATTATTTAAACAAAAAAACACCCTTAAAATAGGCGATCGTTAAATGAGAGATTGAATTTTTGTTTTGAATTGAACAGTATATATTGAGTCATATGCTTACATCGTAATTGCACGGCGAGACCTAGCTTCATTTGAGTCATGTCCCAGTCTTCGTGTATGGCCACATATATTTCAAATAGAATCTGTTAGCCAACCATAACACATTGCACTAACCCTTCTAACAAATCAATGGTAATATTCCAAAATCAGACGAAGAATGATCTTTTTTTTGTTTGGGTCGAACCTTTTACCTGTCACTTCAGCGTATCACTCGTTACTCGTCTGTGTATATAACAGTAACACACAGCAGAGCTGACGAATCACCTGCTGAGCTGCAAACGGTATCTAAACATTCGCTGACGCTTGCCGCCTGCCATAGAAGCTTTGCTGCATGCCTAAGCAATCCGTTATTTTTTCTTTAGGCACCCCATCAACCTTTACGGCATCAGGAGGGACGGTTGTGATGCTAAAAACAGTAGACAATCAGAAAAATATTTGTTGCAAGTCTGCAGTCGGATCTGACCCTCTCTATTCAACTCGCTAACTTTCTATGACGCGACTTGGCAACCTGTGCGCGGTTCTAATCTTGATAAGAACAAGATCGTACTGATCGGTGCTAAATGCTGAACGAGCGTTCTCTCAACAGTATAAGCGGGCAGTAAAAAAAAGTCTGTCCCATTAGTCGACGCTTTCGCATTGTCATTTAGTAAAAGAGTGCCATTGCTAAGCTATTTAGTCGGGTAGACCTTTGTGATCATCTCGACCAGTGTATAACGTGAAGGTAAGTTCGATTCATGTGTTTCGTTCGATTTTCGTTTTACTTGAAAAGGCTTAAGAAAGGTACTGAATTCATTTTGAGCAGAAATTTGTAGTTGCGCACGAAATGCCTGCTCAGCGGAGTAATCGCTCTCGCATATAAGCCCAGTCACCAAGCCAGATATGAATGGAGTGCCCCCGTAGGGTTTTGGTAGACTCATAGGCTTCCTCCAACAGGAAGGACTGCGCGGCCACTGGAAGTGGAAATTAACGACGGAGAGCGCGCTTCCTGATATCTTGTAGTTTTGTGGTTAGCTAGTGACAGCTGGTTTCTTCCTTCTGCTGGACGCTGGGTATCTTGGCAAGTATAGCAGTGTGACTTAAATGTCATCGTTTTTTGAGCTCTTAATTATACCTGATTGTGAAACTTTTGATCAAATATTGCTACATTTAGTGTAATGGCATCTTTATGTGGTTTTATGCCTTAAACTAGTGAATATTTATCTCTAATGTTTTGGATATTGGTTCATTAAAAGATGGTTAAAAGCTATCGCATAGCTCCGGAGACATCATAATGAAGTTATGGATAATAGGAACAAATCCGACGAGACAAAAATCTTAGCATTTATAAGCTACCTTTGCGGTGAACAAGACAAAATTCAAAATCACGACAATTTATGTATCAGCGAGCTTTACAGTTTTACTTATTGCCTGATATTTGTTAAATAATTATGACGTACAAAAGTCACATTCATTTGTGGCTACATACAACGACAAGCATGTCTCAGGCAATCAACAAATATTAAGACCGATTAGTTTTTACCATTTACTGGCGCAAGAGCGATGTTTACTTGGTTGAACTAGAATAGTGAAATAAGGTGTCATGGTTTCCCGTGTGCGAATAGTCAATGATAAAAACAGATATTTATTAAATCTGTGTAGTTGGAGTTTTACGTCGGGTATCGCCGTTGGGTACTCCATCAGACGGCTGACTCCTATCACGGAACGAAGTCTTTTTATGGCTGGGTTCGTACCTAGACCACAACATGTCCCTAAACTAAACAGCCAATACGTTACTCACTAAGCTGTCACGCTGACATAAATGATCGACTAAATCTAACGTGACCATTTGGTGCGATCTTCCACTAGGCAGTGGCAGTTGTAACCTTGGCTTCGCGATTATCAGCATATACATTGCCCGGTTATGATACCGCTGAGCAACAGGCATTGGTTTAGATTTCCCTTATTAATCGGGGCGCATTCTAGAGCTATTTCTTAAAATAGTTTTATAGTCTCAGACCTGTACGGATTCTATGATTTATTGCTGTTGGTGGCAGGACATAAGTTGTCATGTCGGATTCAATTAATCCTTGTAGGTTTTTGCCGAAATAGAGTTACTAGAATATTTCTTTAACTTTTGTACCTTTACAGCTTAGCTATGTATGTGCCACATAAGTGTCACATGTATTCAACTGTTCTCTAGCAATTGGGTCTTTCGGGCACAGAAGACTTATATCCGCGCCAATGCTACGTATGTATTGTAACAAGGGATCATGAAAAAGAAAATACATTTTTTATTCATATCAATCGACAATCCAGCCTTTCTCTCCGATTCTCAGTATACGCCTATCAAGTTCCACACCCGACGAAACGGCCATAAGGAGCGGTAAGTGGTGTTATTGGCGCCTTTAGTCGTCTTGTTGCCGAGAAATCGGACAAGCGAGAGCCAATCGCTTGAAAAAAAGACAAATATAAAGGCTATAGAGCGTACACTAAAAAGCGTAGCCTATAGAACATTAATAGCATGAAATGCGAGCAGATATTTCCAAGTGTTTAGGACCTACCTGTAGGTTAGCTCACTGTTCCGTTTGCTCTGTGTGCCTTTTATTATTGTTATTATTGCCTGTGTGTACAGTTGTGAGCTATATTTTATTATGTGTCCTTCGTAAACGGCGGTTGGCCTGACATAGTTCTTGCATCATCTATAAGGATAGTTTATAGAAGCTGATATGTGTGCAGGGCTTCAACTTTCCAATTAGACATGCAAAAGATGACGACCTAGAAACGACGAGAGGAAAGCTCTGCTATTAGTTTGAACTGACGCTTCGTCTGACAGTGTCACGTAAAATCTAACGCTATTTGCAACTTTGAAATCAAAAAAAAGGCAGCATATCTTACCTTCTCCATTCACGATGGGACCTCTTTCAATCCACATAACTAAAGTTAACGTCTAGTAAACTTCAAAGCGAATTGGTCATTATGGAGTGTATTCAGAACACGCGTTATTACGCGCGTGTCTTTGTCATCGTGCGTGAAAGTATTCCTTTACAAATGTGTTGTTATTTTTCTAAACATCGTCGCACGCGCGTATATATAAACTGACATTTTGGCTGTATGTATTATGCTAACGTGAATGTCATATTTCTTTGCCGCATGTAAGATCTAAGAATTCACATCCAAAGCTCGCTGTCCAACTGACAGCGAGCTCTGGATGTGAATTCTTCTTGAACTTCTTGCTAAAGTTTTCTCCTAAAAAAAATTATGAGGGTTCTAGTTACTCGTCGTGTGATCAGATACATTTACGAACTTATTTCTTTGCGAAACTTAAACATTGTGTAGTCCACTTTATACGCCATATTCTTCTTTTCGCTATTATAGTGCTATAGTTGATAGTAATGGGTAAATCTTTTCCTGGTAATCTAATTATATCGGCTGCCTCTTGATCTCTTCCGGTCAACTATCTGATATGCTGTAGTACTTGGCTAGCTGCAGCTACCTATGCTAAGTCTTTGAGTTTAGGTAAAAACAAGTTATCGATACGCGTTTCTAGAGTCGCGGAGCGCGACATCATCGTCTATTGCAACAGTCTCGTAATCGTAACCAACGGTCTGAAGAGCTAGCAATAACATAGGTTGAGCTCTACACGGGTGGTCGACGTTAATTTGTGTTCATTCGTTCTTGTCGTACCTTTGATTCACTTCTTATAGTGTACCAGAACTAAAATGCACTTACTATGATATCGCATAATAAATTTTATAGTAGCAGAGCAAATATCTTGTGAGGCTTGTATTAGTAGTGTTCCAAATAGGAATACGTGCACCAATAGGGACTCGAAGTATCTTTCTCGAATTCATTCAAATTGAAAAAGTAATGGTGCCAGGGTTGATGTTTATTACAAAAATAGTATATGTTCATGGCGAGCTGTAACGAAACATTGTTGTTCACTATCAACCACTATATTAGATTCATTCATAAAAAAATAAGAAACATTGTGTTTAAAAGATATGATAAATAGAGCATTAACTATTTTACTACCAGGATACCAAATGTGGAGAAAACACCATATACACCAAACCATTTTATTTCTAATGATTTTAATAGTACTTTACAAGAAACCAACCCCACGTTTCGTCGATAAAGAGCCTACGATTGCAACGGCAAGATGTTTTTGAATGATAACACACGAAAAAGCGAAGCACAATGCTGCCAATAATAAATTATTATGTTGAAACCTGCTGTTTCGAAATCTTCCTTGTGAATATATGTGAGAAAGTGAATTATTTTGAGTTAAAACAAAGATATCGGGGGAGTGGGAGGAACCGGCTAGCCTCAACCTAAAAACCCTAAATAGCACATTTATATGAGTCAATGGAACTGTGTGATGTGTGTTTTATTTTATTCATTATAGATTATCTATGTATTTATTATATATTATGGATATTGTGTACTAAACTAGGAACTGAGGCAGTTTACATGTCAATCCACATTTACTGTGTTATGTGCTAAAAGAAGATACCACAGAATAAATATATTGGCCATATAGGCACACTTATTTATCGTATTCGCTCGGGAGATTGCGTATAGGTTCGTGGATATAACTGAATATGTATGAAGATGATGCCGATACGTGCCATGGCAGACACAATGAGATGATACCTTTACACAAGCTAGTGACTATAGAAAGGCTTTTATGGTTATATGTAGTTTCAATCTAATTTTAGATATTTCGAAGTTATAGTGCAACTACATAGTTTAGTTTTAGCACTGAACTGAGCGTAAATTATTTAAGTTTTAGAACAGCAGACACTACGGTGTTGAATAAATGCTGCTAGGGTAAGAAAATATTATTTTTTTATGTCATTGCATAGTCGTAATTGCGCTTCGGTATATTCTTTTGCTATCTTTATTTTATGCTAAAACATAATTGCTTGAGAATAACAATTATTAGTAAGCAGTATTTGATCTCGCTGGTAATGCCAGACGAAATGCTGGATGGATATACTAGTCAATTTTTTTGTTTTATGTTGTAACCAAACACGATTTTTGAATCTTATTCGCAGGGCCGGATTTTGTGGGTTTGTAGTTTTAGTTGTGGCCACAAAAGCTATAAAAATGCCGTTAGAGCAGCAAGCGCTGGGGGACAAGCGCGTGAATATCGACGAGCCAAGATGGGACCAGTCTACATACTGGGGTCGTGCCCAGCATTTTTTCACTGTCACTAACCCACTGAATCTGTTGTGTTCAAATAAAGAACTTGAGCACAGCAAAGACGTTGTCACTCGATACAGGTTTGCTTATCTCATATTATTCCATCAATCTTATTTACAGTTTAAAATAAATATTACGTAAATTGTATATATACGTAGATATATATGGGGTACGGCACCTGAATCAGGACAAATTGTTGTAACAAGCCTGCATATATCTGCTATTTTAAGCTCTAGAAGAATGCCACTTTTCTCTAAAACAAAGCAACGAGTTTATCAGGCCGAAAAATAGTGCATAGCTTTCAGCATTTAAGCGAGGTTAAGCTTGTATCCAATCTCTTCACCCTGGAAGAACACTTACCAAGATTAAAGACTGCTTTTTTTGCTCGAAATCGATGATTATTGCCCGTTTTCATGCGGTGTTTGAAAAATTTGAGGAAGAATTTCATCAAGCAAACAGAAAGATCTTCAATAAATTTTAGATTTAAAGGGCTCAAAGTTAACCGAAGTGGCTCAGAAAGCCACTTTTGATGCAGCGGCATATTTGATACAGAAATCAATGATTGTTTTACAGTGGAAATGACTAATTGTTGCTCCGGTCGTCCAGAGAAATTCCAACAATTAGTCTTTCCAAGGATTTTCAGCCGTTTTCAGCATTTCAATTTTTGAGGCTTTTAGCCTGAAATCAGCCTAAAATTTAATCCCGCTTATATTTTTTGTATGTAGCGTATTTGAACGACACTTTTTAGGAGTTTTTAGCAATACCGCTTAAGACACGGTTACTGTTAAAAAGCTATTTGCGGATTAAAAAAAATATATTGTGTGAGTGGTTTAGGTCCCTAATTGGAGCCATAATTGTGGTAAATGGTGCTTATCTTAAGTAAACATGACTACCAAGAACGACATTTCTAACACATTCGAAAAAAATTATCGAAATATGTTCTTATTCAAATACGTTTTATAAGTGAAGCATAAGGAGAATTCTCAGTTTAGAAGCCGTACCCTATATATATAATTTCCGGGTAAAAACGTGAAAATAGATTTTTTTTTTTTTGGTCACTAAGCCATTTTTTCATCGCAGAAGCTAATTCTACACATATTTCAAAAATTCGGTTTAAAAATACAGAATCCTATATCGATGCTGATCTATACTTTGCCAAATGTGAGTACAAAGAAACGTTCATGTGCATGTTAGTTCAAGGCTCAAAGTGTACTTTGTCAAATTTGCAGAAGTGGTGAAAAAATGGAAGGCCTCACGCTTGAGGAGCTGTGGAAATGCAAGCATATCTATGACAGCGCGTATCATCCTGAAACAGGTGAAAAGGTAACGACAAAATACGGGGATATTTCGAAGCAATGTTTCGTTATGAATTCACTTGTCTGTTCAGCCTATATGGTTTAAGTGTCGGCGAAATATTTAAGCTTATAATAACAACTCATAAAGTGAATGTTTCGCTACATTGTCGTTTGTATAACAACTATGGAACTCCTCTACGAATGCGGTCCGTTGTGACCCACCTCATTATGGAAACAAACCAGCCTTGAAGAGTCTAAGTTCTATCCAGGGGGCGGCATTCTCCGTCCTTTGCAATAAATTTTTATTGAGAGATGGGACATCCTGTGAATATATCAATGTACAAACATGAATGTCATGGATCGAATACGTCCTTGTTGACACTGTTCGACATTAAGTCAAATGGACTGCTATCTTGATCGTTAGTATTGGTTTGGAAATAAGAAAGAGATATATTTTTGCATGCAATTGTTTTACAAACCACAACTTATACACCTGAATTTGCTGCACTCCTCTTATGAAATTTCCATGTTCTTCCAGGTAGTTTTGGTCGGGCGGATGTCTGCCCAAGTTCCTATGAACATGATGATCACTGGCTGTATGATGGCGTTCTATAAGACTACTCCTCAGGTCGTTTTCTGGCAATGGGTGAACCAGAGCTTTAATGCCGTTGTCAACTACTCAAACAGGTGTACCATACTATACGTTTGAAATCAATAAGTACTTATCTTTTTTTTTTTTTAATAATTTAGTGCATCAGGCAGAATTTGATGCGATGATGGTCGTGGTAATAGTTAGCATATGTTAGTAGGTTATTTAATTAGGCAGAAACCTGGTGTCACGCACTGGAAATCAGTTAGTATTAATATTTCTAATTTTACCATTCGTTATTAAATGCTATTTAATTGCTAATTAAAACATAGGGCTTTTGTTATGAATAGCCGTAGGCTGAATACTTATACGATGCAGGCCAGTTATTCTAAAAAATGGTATCTGTTTTTATAGGTGTATAAATATAAAATGCTTAGTATCTTTCAATCATTTTCAAATTACATCCATATTACGATAGCTACTGACAGTTCTGGATACACAATATCCTCCTCTTTCAAATGATTGTGTTTTGATTACCAGTTATTATCACAAAAAGTATTTTGTCATACCCCACTAAGTAGTACATTCAATGTTGTTCTCATTAATTTAATTTTCTTAGCCGTTCTGCTTTTGCTTTGTGATACGGGTTCCAGATCGGGAAAAGATCCGATTCCTCAATCTCAACTAGCGTTTTCATACGTGCTGGCTACATCGGGTGCTCTGGCTACTGCTCTTAGCCTCAACTCTCTTACACGACGCATGCCCCCGATTGTGGGACGTTTTGTGCCATTTGCCGCTGTTGCGGCCGCCAACTGCGTTAACATCCCAATGATGAGAATGAGAGAGCTTCAAGAGGTATTCTTTTGAGTGATCAATATAAACAGCAGAATTTTAAGCTGTTTCCAAATGTATAACAAGGTTAATGTTGTTTTACATTTGTTATACTTGCTTGGGTACGATGGTAGCTTTACAGTGAATAAGATATTCAGCTAAATTACATGCTATTACATGATATGACCCTAACTACTATTATCGTTGGAGATTTGATTACTATAATTAAGCTCTATGTGCATAGCCTCGATAACTTGATGTATATTTATTGTTTCTCATAGCCGGGCACAGTAATTCAGCAAGTAACTGTATTACACTATTATGTACATGTTATTGCTTACTATGATTCCATAGGGGATTACTGTGATGTCGGAGGATGACAAGGAGTTTGGCCAGTCCCCTACAGTAGCCAAGTATGCCATTTCAATGGTAGTCCTTTCTAGAATTGGTATGGCCTCACCCGGAATGATGATTCCTCCGATCTTTATGAATGCCCTTGAAAAAAAAGGTGAGAATATCTGCACTGTTCAGCTAATAATTTTGTCATTACCGTAGTGTGCTCAACATCAAATAGGCGATCGTAATTTCGTGCACGATGTACAGTTCATAGCGTATCCAGATATTGTTAGATTCTCGAATCCGTCATTTTGTTAGATTCACCAAAAAAGCAGTCACTCGAATTATGATCGCGACGATTGTATCAGCATTTTTCTACGGTACTCCGGTTTTAAAACTAATTTAAAACTAATACAGCTTCTTAATACAATTACCTATCCAAAATTCCCATCGGAATTTTATCCGTGAATTATAGTCACTAATGCGCATGTTTAAACTTGCAGGATTCTTTGCACGATATCCATGGGCCAATGCACCGATGTCTGTGAGTTTGGCAGGTCTTTGTCTTCTATTTGCAACCCCCATGTGCTGTGCTTTGTTCCCCCAGAAAGCTTCAGTAGCAGTGAGCTCCCTGGAGCCTGAACTTCAAAAAAAGATTAAGAGCGAAACCGATGGAAAAGTTCAGACGGTTTACTATCATAAAGGACTCTAAAAGTTCTGCAACAAGAATAAAGTACGGTCTCCAACAGATCTTCAATCGAAAAAAAAAAGAAGGTAGACTCAGGAACGCCGGTCTGCAGCTTCTCCTGCCAAGCTTTTAATGACCTAACCGCATGTGGATCCATAAGAGTACGAGCTGAGTAGAATTCTCTGCTAGCCAATACGTCCCACGATCTTCCATTCGAAGTTGATTTACTAGGTTGTGTATGTGCTTCATAATTGGAAAAAGCGCGGAAGCGGCGAACTAATGAACAGTTTAACTCAACTATATGCCTCAAGCCGTTGCCGTCATAATAATGCGAAGAAGGCATTTATCTGAATGTAATTTAGTGCTTAGGTGCAAGATGTAACGATGCCCAGGAAATGAAAGCTACCGGTTCGGAAGTTCAGTAACGGCTAGTAGGGAAACATTCCGCTTTTCTTCACCGCAGGGACGTATTGAATTTCTGATAATGTGCACATACGCAATATTGGCTGAGGACAATAGCAGCTATACTAACTTAAATTTTTCAGAAATTCAAGTAGGTGGCTGAAAATGAACACTCACTAACATGATCGGATAAAGAGACATTAAGTAAAATCATGGAAAGTAGGCTGTTACGGACTGAATTTGACGCAAATTTTTCTGATAATGATACACACAGTCCAAACAATGCTTTACACAAAAAATATCTTGCATCTATACATCCTTATGCCTAATGGACGCAAAACATATGGCATGGCCAATGGGTGCCACAAAGGATAAGATGTGATCGTGTAAATTCGAAGCCTCATAATAGTTGCACAAGTATTTTTGTTATAGGCATAACAATAGTAGTTATATCCACTTTACGCAATCATGCTTGCTGACAGAATTCTAAATCGAACGTTTTTATCGGCTTTATTTCATGAATATTTATGAATTGTTTCATTGAGATGACGATAACTATGTATAGTTACGGAAATGGGAGTATTAAAATTACTTTTACAATTATTAGTAATTGAAGTAAATGTTGTAAATTTGGATATATATATATATATATATAAGTCTGGAAAGGAAGAGGCAGGAGTAACTAGATCAAGTTTTCCTTGTCTCTTAACAGCCATATATTCTGAGAGAGTACATTGTAGGGGAATGACAATACATATTATAAACCATATTGAGTCGTGCATACCACTTGATTTAGTAGTAGTTTTAGTAGGCAGACGTAACCAATAGTGCTTAAGAATTGGGCCTATACAGTGTAGAGAGAGCGCGGGAGCGGCAGAGAGATCTGTGACTGACCGACGTATATTATGGAGACGTGTGTTTCATATTTTTTTGATTTTTGACTGTTTTTGTTGCTTTGGTTTGCTTGATGAAGACACGTGTGAATAATGAGGAAAAGACGATGGGATACTTAGGTAAAATATAGTGTCGGAAATCCCCTTTTCTTTAAAAAAAAAATTGGAAAACTAGTGAAATGTGAAGATTTCGCATCTCGATTGAAGATTAAGAATTAAACGTAATTGTATACAGGGTTTATATTAGAGTCTCTACAGGAAGGTTCTGGCAAAACAGACGGCGAAAATTTTAGTCGACAATTTTACGGCCTAGTACGGGTAAGTAAATATTATGAAGGTGTTAATATAGATTATTGTGGCATTTATTGACCCGATCGACCAACGCTATGGATCTTTCGTAAATGAATTTTGTCACTGCCATATTTACAGTGGTATGCATGAAGAATTTAAGGTTTTGTTTCCCTTCACGTAGTTAAGGCCTGACTGATTGTGAACGACTGAGACTCATTGTCTGCCTTTATTCATTATTAATGCAAATGGCAATATGATACTACAATCACTGGCATTATTACACCGCTAGATAGATGTGTTTCGCTATGATACTTGATAAAGAAATTACGAGAAAATGTTTTTTCATTAAGAGTTATGCTTTAATGAGTAATAAATAATAAATAAATGAGCACAAAGGTACTCAAGGCCTGTCTTTTTTAAAAGAGTTACATTATAGATCAGCTATATTGGTCATTGCACGTTCAGAAAGAACAATACTGTGACCGCGTGAAAAGCGTGCAAAATAGTAATGACTGCAAAGCCCGAAACTTGAGATACGATAAAGCCATTCTAATAATATTCAGTAGCTGTCTGTCACGACAGAAGTAACAACGAATAATAAGAGACATTATTGGTGAACAGAATTTTGTCTTGTGCTGGCCAAGTGTCAGATATTGTCAGACACTTTTCTTACTTTGTTTGAATAGAGATCTTCGTGAATTGGCATTGTGAAGATAGGCGATCCAAAAATAAAACAGTATTGAGAGTTTCGTAGAAATCCCTACGGTTATCTGTTTCTTAACCTCTCTGAAGAGATCTTTAACACAACCTAAATTTACTTTCCGGGAGAACTCTTCCGGGAGAAGTTTTCTAATTTCGTTAAGTTATCTATTTATGATAGATCAAATCTCAAATCGTACCAGTATGACGAGATTCTGCGAATCCGTGATAACAGAGATATTTTTGTTTTATCAAAAAATCGTTTTCCTAGAATGGACAATGGTTCGAGAATGTTGAGTGTAAAAACGTGTATACAAAACTTCTATGTTATTTAGGGTTAGATATTCATAGAACATCTGGACCGGAAAAATAAACTAAATTGAAAGTTAAAATCTTTTATTTTTGTACTCTGTGCAGATACTGACTCCATTGTCGAGTCAGCCTATGTATTTACTCCCGTAAAATAATAGTATGTTCGTTAATTGAAGAATCATGTCTAGCCATTACAAAAAAGCTCTAGATCTGTAGTGTAGGTGCATATTGCGACACTTGGTAGGTACGTATGTACCAACATTGTTGGGAAACTGAGTTGCAGAAACCAACAGGAGCGGTTGCATTAGAAGAGACTTTTCCCAAATAACAAAAGCGCCGGGTAGAACGGGAAGAGGTGGGGAGGGTATATTTCTGCTATATCACGTCGAATGACACGTTGGAGGAGTACAAATTTTACCCAGGAAATTTGACAGCTTTATCCACAGCGTGTCGCAGCCACACAAGATCTTCTTACAAGAGACTTTAATGCGGCGACGAAGGACAAGGCCCGTCAGGACGAACCAATGAAGGGAAGTAATACTGGAGAAAATGGCTTCACATAATCTGTACGTGATGAACAGAGGAGAAAGCTAAAGTTCTATTGGTGCGGCAACTATCCCACATAGATTTCACCATCTACAGTGAAAAACTAATAGAGCTGATTACAGGATAACGGGTAATCGGCGACCTGGAAAACCAAAGTCAGCTAAGTGAATACTCCGTCTCCGGTCCCATCCAGAATTTGATACAGATTCTAGAGCACAGAAGCACTGGAAAATGCTTTAAGCTGAGTAATCAGGGAAAACGGTATCTCTGTCAGCATTGCGAATTTACATCGGGTTCTGGACAGAGTATGCAGACTGGTAAACGGGCCGGTCAACCACTCTAAGGGAAGGAGGCGAACACAGTCCAAGTGCTGTTGGAGTTTCCAGATCGCAAAAGCGCCCAGGAAATGCCGCCAGTCCAGGAGAGCAATCAAGAGAGCGACACAGAAACACAGCAAGTTTGCTCATGCCATACCAGCAACGTAAGATGGAGCTTAAGCGTACAATTAAGGAACTCGAGAAGGACTTGTGGAGAAAACTTTACAAGATAGTTAAAAAAAATAAGGAGAATTTCCAAGCCAGGCATGCCGGAAAGAGAGACTGTGCACTGATAATTTTCCCAGCACTACTACTTCCCACGAACAGCATTTAAGTCCAGACGAACAGCAGCGGATCCGAGCAGCAAGATACCCATAAACACAAGGTAAGACGGGTAGAAAGGCAAAAGTGATATTCGTCCCAAAGGGAGATGAAAAGTCGTCGCAATCAGTCTGATAATCTTCCTGGCTAAAGGCTTCCAAGTAATAATCGAAGATTTGCTGCGACCGTTCGCTAAGGTGCTTGGTTTTATACTCTCTAGACAGTTCGATTTCCCCAAAAGCCGCACGGTTTTTGGCGAAAATATATACAATGGTAATCAAAGCCAAAATCATACATGGCTCGACCCTGAGGACTCAAAATTTATTCATGGTAATATTCCTAAACGTCAAGAATGCCTTCAACAGTATTCTGTGAGACTTTAGATCGGAGTTGGGCTCCTAGCCTAGGTAGACCAGCGGGTCCTTACGGTACAGATAAAACGGCCACGGATATGGAGCTATAGCTCAATAAAAAGCAGCAAGCGAAATTTCAGAACGGATGACGCAAATTGAACGTGAAAGAAACTTGTGCGTTAAATCAATCTCTACCTATATGGGCAGACACTTCAGGATGGTTAAAAAGTGCCAGATAGCTGGGCACGGCAGCAAAGGCCATGGAGAGCATCATAGTCGCCCCACTGACCAAGGAGATCGAAGAAACGCAGCACTGTCAGAAGCACAATACGGCTTCAGGAAACAGCGTTAAATAGTCGCAGCTGTAGACAGGATTCTCAAGATAGCGAGAGAGGAGATGGAGGCTAGGAATTTCGCACTTCTTATCCAGCTGTATCTTAGAGATGCCTTCAATAGCATGAATTGGGGAAAATTAATGGCCGCACTGGAGGAAAAGGGAAGCTTTACGTACCTATGCAGACTCATCGGCTCGTATTTAGAAAACAGAAGACTTTTTAGGGGACGAAATACAGGGTTACAGCTCGGGTACCACGGGGATCGGTTCCTGGACCAACACTGTGAAACCTAGCCTACGATGGCGTGTTGTAAATTGCGAATTTACCGGAAGGGTTGGAAGCTATTGCATATGCAGATGATCTGGCTCTTATTATCAGGGCCCGAACAGAAGACGACCTGGAAAATAAAGCAAATGGCTCTCTCGAGTTGGTAAATTGGTGGATGGAAGAACACTACTTAAGGTCAGCCTCTGAGAAGACAGAAGCACCATACCTGACTGCCAAAAGGAAGGTCAGAGGGGTCAACCTCTTTTTCGGAGATACCCAAAACAGTATCCAGAAAAAAGTAAGATGCCTCGACGAGACGCTGGATGCCGCAATGTCTGGAAGGCAACACATTAAACATGTAACTGCAAAGGTGGAACAGTCCTTAACCTGTCCCGTAATTTACCTAGGGTAGGGGGAGCCTCTTAGGGCCGTCAGAGACTCCTTGCTTTTGTAGCGGAGGCTACAATGCTCTACGCTGCCCCAGTGTGAGCAGATACGGCGCACTGCTAACCACTCAAAGGATAACAGCAATACGCGTAGCAAGAGCGTACAGAACCGTTTCAACCGAAGGTCTTCTAATGCTGGCCAGAATGGTTTCATGGGACCTGCTCGTCAGCGAAAGAGCGGAACGCCGTCTGAGAAACGTAAATAACGACGCTAACATGGCCCGCGCGGACACAGTGGACAAATAAGAGCAACAGTGAGAAACTCCCAAGACCAATAGTAGAGGAGAGGTTCCGGGCAGCTGGACCCGGCATCTAATTCCAGATGTCAAGGAATGGACTCGCAGCACCTGTGGAGAGATTATGTATCACTTCTGTCAGGTCCTGTCGGGCCATGGACAGTTTCAGATTTACATGGCATAAATCGGCAAAGCGCAAGCAGACCCTGCGTGCTCTGCGCATCGGGCATCAAAGACGGAGCAGAGCACACTGTGCGTTAGTGTCAGGCACTAAGTGGAGTCAAAGATAAGCAGGCACACAGAGAGGTATCCATGTAGGGTAGCGTAAAGGGAATGGTGGAAATGGTGCGCCGCAAGAGAATAACGGAAGGACAAGCTCGAGACGAGCAAGGGTCCGATGTCCTACCATTGGGAGAGCAGGGCACAAGACCCCGCCTATAAGTTAGTATACGCGCGGAGGAGGGGAACCCGAACGGAGGATGGACCGGAACGTGACAAGGGGGATGATACCTCAACGCCGCTTCCTGCAAGCTATGGTTTAGAAGTAATATTAAACTATATCCCGAACCAAAGCCCAAGTCTTCGAAAGATCCAGGTAGTGGGTGAGAGTCCCACAGTATCAGACAAACAGCACAGATGTGAAGTCTGGTCTGCATAACGCATTTGCCTTCAACCTCCAATAAAAAAAGATAACCGGGCATAAACTTGGACAGGGGACTTAATGAATTGTTTTATGTTAGAATAACTATGACGAAAGCTAGTGAAACAGCGTACCCTATAGCAAGGATATCGCCTAACATGTATGGGCCGCAAAAGGCAGATAGACGGTGGCTCCTGATCTCGATCGCCAAGTCAACAGTTCCAAGTCAAGGCCTTCAGTTTCCCACTTTGGTTTGGATCTTTTGTAGACTTTAAAACAAATAAAATCTCCTTTGCAAGGTACAAAGGACTGTTGCACTGGGAATTTCAAGCATGTGTGGTGGTTAGGACGTCAGCGGCCTCTGTCTTGCTGGGACACTTCCATGGGATTTAAGAATATAAAGGAAAAAGCGACAATGGAATTGCGACCGAGAACGTAAAGCTATTATGGAAGCGTGGCAGGCCAAGGATACACTGCGACCAAAAGTTAGAAGATAGCTGCCTATACGTTACTAATTTGGCTCACCTTTAGAGCCTTTTAAGGTTGCGGGGACAAAAGCAAGAAACAAGCTCTTGAGCAAACAAGGGTATATTCTTCTGAAAGAGATCCCTTCTCGATTTAGCTAGAAGGGGACTAGCGAAACTTTGGAAGGTCAGAGAGCGAAAACTCGAAGTGATCATCGCGCCAAAGAGGTCTAGAAGGTAAACAGGACCTTCACTGACAGCGGAGAAAGAGATTCAGTCCCAAGGCTGCAGACGAGCCACGTAACACGACTAAAGTCCGTTGATCCATAGGCACTGGCAACTTTTCCTGGTAGTTCGTTGTTCAATGAAGTTCCAAAGAGTTCCGGTATACGAAGCGTGAAGTTTAGCGAGTGCGTTAGTTGGTGGTAAACACAGCGTGACACTAAGCTGGAGATCCATGTGTTCTTCGACTCCAGCTGTATGCATCAATGCCATAACATCTCTTAAAAATGAAAATAAAGGCCTGATAAGCCCCCAAGAAACCCCCAAAGTTTTTCTTCAAGGCACTAATGAGTCGGGACCATCGGTTTCGTTTATCTCTTGGATTTTCTACTAAATATCCTACTTGCTCAACGCCTCACAATCTAAATTCTTGTCACCTGTGCCGACTTTTTACGTCACTGACAAACAACTAACATCTGATGTCTTTATTGGAGAGAAGAGGGTGAAAATCAGTAATATTTTATAGAGAAGCATATACTAAAGCAGGTAATAAAAAAGGCCTACTGTGCACAGGGCTGCGTTGCTCCGATAAGAAACTTGTGTGCATCTGATATCAAATATAAGATATAGTATACTGGGCTTATTTTTAACAAAATTAAAGAACGTACACCCTTACGTGGTGTATTTTCGCGTGTGATATAACTCATGCGGCAAACGTCGGAATAGCTCTTAGCCGCTATAAATTGGTACCATACTTTATACTATGTATACGATATATTACTTATTCAACAAGATTAAAACTAAGCGGTCTAAGAAACATTTTGGTAGGCGTCCAGATTGTGCGGTTATGTGATAGGATGGCGGGTTGAAAATATTAGTGTATAGGATACCGTTTTACGATAATATGAAATACATAGTTCAGATGGTGAAGGATCATAAGCGCTTTAAAATTCCAAAGCTTCTGGGTAGTAACAGCGACAACGCTCGTGCCCTGCGCCAAATCCGAGATTAGAGATACTTGAGCATCTTTCGAGGAGTTTCGAGACTCTGAAGTTCGCAGAAGTCCCTTCACATTACTCTCAAGAAATGCCCGTTGGTGAAGATAAAACAGGCGTATTCTTTAATCGATAGATTAACTTTTACACCTCCGAATTTATACGCGTGTATATACACAATCAAAATGACCAAATTAAAGATTGTTGCATTTTTTACGGAAGTTAATTCGGAATTGTTATTGTGGTTCGTCTGGGCAAGTCTTCGCTGTTATGAACTAAAAAATAGGCTATTTGAATGTTTAACTTACTAAACGTACTAACAGGTTGATAATATGTCGTGAATAATCTTTAAAAAGCACTTAAATTAGATCTGCGGTCAGTCAATCGTCGAAAATAGTGAATTTTTCGGCATCGAATTTATATGGCACGTACCTGCCATTTTAGTACAACGATTCTTGTTCAGGAATAAAAGAGCCTATTTATTGCGTATTCTATTTCAGTTGGCAGTATGCAAAATTATCTATGTTTTGTCCATATCCGGCTTTTGTTGTTCTAAAGCTCGGTTTTAACTTCCGCGGCAGGTGTAGCCGGTACAGTAAATGAAGGCTTTGTCGTTGGGTGGGCATTTAGGAATGCGTTGACAAGCAAAAGATTGGCCTCTTCTGCGATCTTATCCATAGGGGCACTATTTAAAATAAGTAGGTTCATCCATTGGATTGTCTGCGTAGTTGAGTTCCAGAACCCCAAACCTGTGAAACGTACGAAATACAGGTTGAAACGCAATTCTACACTTCTAAATAGGAACCGCATAAGCTACATCTCGAATGTTCTTAATTGTTTCTTTTAGTTATAGACGTACTGTAAAGCCATTTGCCAAGATCTGTTCAATCTAAAGCCTGTCTGGACCGCACGCGGCGTCAAAGATAGGATATTGACTAGTCTATTTCTAAAATGTGCATCACATAAACGCGATCGGCAACCCAAATTGCCTAGCAATAGAATGGTTTGTCTCAGCACTTACCGGGAGTCTTGGCGAGACCATGTATAGGGTGTGAAACAGCATCGAACGTGGGGAAGTCATTTGTATCTACCCACAGAACTCGATTGTTTGTGATAGTAGCGGTGGATGCTTTCGCGTCCTGCGAAGTTGCTACTGTACCCATCAGAGCGATCTGCCGTTGGCTTCGTACAATTAGCTTGAGGAGATAGAATGAGAACGGGCTAGAATCCGTGATCAGGAGGATCGCTGAAGAGGCCGCTAGGGAAGGATCAAGCACGTTTAGTGGAGTCACCTAAAAATAAGCTAGTACGTCAAATGTATGTTTTAATATCCATTGTATATTGGATAAGTATTTCTGTGCTATTTCTAGAACTGTTTAAAAAAATAGCCCGATCCAACATGTGTCTACTAAATCTTAATCAGTGTAATTTTTAAGCGCATTATTTAGCAGACACCACGTTCTCCAGCCTCAGGAAGGACGTCATTTCCGTACCTTTATTAGGGAGTCCCTGTTAAAGACGATTAACTGCTGGATATCGGCTAGGGTAGCAGGATTAACAGGGCACACGACCGGATGCTTATCGAAGTCACGGATAAGGTAAATCTGGGACATGAAAACAAGCATTGTTACAGGCTACCGAGCTGCTTCTGTACTGAGAAATGCGCCAAATACGAACTGGGCGCAAAAAAGAAAGCAGAAACTCCTTTTTAAGTAGTACCGATGGCTTGTTGGATCGTATATTTTTAAGTACTGCAAACACTAACTATTTTAATCAATTTGAAAATTGTCCTTTGATATTATTTTCGATTCTATGTAGGCAAATTCAGTATGGTAACTAATAGCTAACGCAGGTGTATCATCTTAGATGGATTCGTCAACGTAAATCGTTAGATGATTTGTCTTCGAACAGCATTATAATCATTTATTTGCTCTCTGTAGAGGGGGCCAACTGTCATACCTGACCAGTCGTATTCAGCTTGAGGTGTTTTGCGACGGTGGGATCTGTGGTTGTGTAGAACGAAATCTGGAAGGTAACAATTACCATAGGTCTGGTATTGGCATTAATACACGAAAAAAGTGTTGTCACAGACAAGTACCTGAGTGGATTTAAATATCTGAAGGAAATAAAATGTTAATCCCGCCAGACTCAACTCATTTTCATCTCACTCGGTATTCGACCCGTTGCTAACGTCTAGGCATAAGCTGGCCAGTTGTCACCCAGTTTGAGCTCGAAAGGGACGGCTGGTTTTTGTTGTTCAGCGACATACTACATAGGAAGTTAGCAATAATAGAGGTTGCTGCAGCTCCAGGCAATCGTCTCTATCATATGTGTTACGCATGCGCGAACTTAACAATTGTTGCTTAGACTACCGATCCAAATATTACGATGTCAAAAAACAAGAAAGCAGCTTTAATAAACGCTTAAGACACCTTAACTATTTTTTGGGTCTGTCTTTGATTTGCTTGTATCCGTCGTACGTTATATTGGATCACTACGGCCTGATATATTTTAAAAACTACAGGCTAACCCGACTGCATTAACCCAACTGCTATAAGTAAATATGTTGAATTGAATTCGTTATATATTATACATACAATGACTGCACAATTTACCGGCTATGTGGCCAGTCAGGGCGAGTCGAGGTTGAGAAAACCTTATGGATGATATTCAAACGTTTATAACTTCACCCATCGATAACGAGCCCTTAAGCCTTGCCCAGATTACATGTGAAAAATCGATCACTGGGCATGAAAACAACGCAACAATACGCTCTATGAGATTTTTTTTGAAATTGTATTTTTTATAAAATGGCAATATTATTGTTCATTTTCATTGTACAAAACCTCACCACGGTAATGTGCCCGCTAGAGACTTGACCCAACAAAGGAGAATTCGAAATCTCCGTTTATATTTAAAGCTGACAAATTCGATACTCGTACGTGTGCACTACCTGATTGCCAAAGAGTGATGCAGCTTGTTCGAACGCTTGCATATCTGGACTGGCTCTGGACGCGAAGTATCCGACGAGCTTTGTGCCTCGTGTGTGATCGAATGCGGTCTGTGAATACGCGCAAATTCGAAATAGCTCAGTTGTTATCAATAGATATGAACAATAGTAGTAGTAACATAGACAGATAATATAGGAGACGCTCATAAAAATGTTCTAGATAATGGGCTCGCCGTATCGGTAGAGGAGCAAAGGCCCCGAATCCCTCCTATATTAGTATTAGAGCTACAGTTAAAGTATCGCTGGGAACATACAGTCATATAGAGAAACAGAGATACGACTTTGGCGCGCTTGTGACCGCAATGACATTGTACATACATACAAAGTACGAAAAAATAATTAAGGAAAAGTGTTACGCTTGCGAATTATCTTAGACTTGTTTTCTGAAGTATCAACACCATAACATAACACCAACCTTATCCATTTTTCCAGCGATTATTTTGAGGTTTGCGTTTTCCAAATTCGAGATGAATTTCATGATGTAGAGAGCTTCGCGTAAGCCATGGTAAACATAACGACGACCTCCACGAAAGATTAATACCTGACCTAATAACCATTAGGTTGCATTAATAAAGTTGTATTGCAGTTATGAGCACAATTTGTCAATAAGTTAACGTATAACAATTTTCTTATTGGTATATCAGTGATGTAGAAGTTTTTATTCGACGATTCGCCTATATAAGTAAATATTATCAAATAGGTACATTTGAAACACATTGGGTATACATATATAAAAGAAAAAAAAGGAACATTAGTAATTTTATTCCTATGTATCGTCCGCGCTATATCTATAATATAAGGATCTCAATAGTGCTACATGAACATTGCAATTGTGTAACGGATGCAATCTGTATTGAGGTTTGAAATGAGCAGAGGCACAATTTCGAATATTTCTTACTGTAATATTTCTAATTATATTGCTACTTCATAAGTAAGTAATAATAAAAATTAGCAGGGCCCTACACAAATCAATTACTGTCTTTTACCTCATTCTCGACAATCTGCGTTCGGGTGAGGAAACGACACGTCTATAGCATTTGGATCTTACCGCCTTGTAATGTTTTACCTAGTCCGGTTCTTCGCTAAACGCATATTGCATAGGTGAAGATATTAGTTACAGTTTCACCAGTAATTATTTGCGTCTCTATACTGGTTGGATCGAAATTTAACGGTATTGACAATTGCTTTATCAGCAGTAATCGTACGCCGAAGAGCACTGATAGTTCTTTCATGACCGTGATGTAAGAAAAAAAAAACAAAAGAGCATTCGATACGTGTTGACCTACCATATACACACACAAAAGTGGTAAGACGAGCGAAGGGTGATATACCGAGATCGAGAGAGTGTAATGAAATTTAATTACATTATCGATAAGATGTGGCCTAAAATAGAGTCGTGTAAAGTTCCTCTTGTAATATTTTATTCTCCTGATACTGGTCGTCAAAAAAGACCTCTAATTTTGCTAAATAGGCTACGAATGCAGCGCTCCATAGAAGCGTTTAGGAGAAACGCGCTCAGCGATAATAAGCAGTATTGCTTTTGCAGCCTTTATGTACACGTAAAAGGAGAACGACATATATTTTTAATAATTGCGGAACGCAACTGAAGAAAATAAATACGTTAAGAACGTCGAAGTGATTAGTAATAATAGAATGTGTTGAGGTATTTTTGAACGTTTAGCTTGAAGAGAGCCAGTGCGATTTTAACCTTGTTGTAGAGCTTAATTTTCTTGAGTTAAATCGGCCTAAGCGACAACAACAGTTCATCGCTTCATTTGCCAAACAGGTTTAGATCAGACGCGTTCGAAGCTCTTTTGGCTGAATACGCTAATAAACATCAGGGATTTGTGTATTTCCAATCGTTGCACCATTCTCACTCAACAAACAGTTGTGTATTTTTAGCTCCTGTACACAAACTAATTTTGTGTTTGCAAAGCGGAATCCAGGTTCAGTGTTCTTCTTAATTTTCAAGTAGTGTCCTTTCTTCTTGTCGAAAGTATCCACTTCTTTCAGAACCTATCTAAGATGATGGGGTACACGAACCACGAGTCTGGATAGCAGTTATTAGTGAGGAACAACGTATTATACACATAATATTCTCTAGTGACTCTATACACTGTTGAGCGTCACGATTTTCAAAAATAAGCTAAAAATCAGTGGAGCAATATTCTTAGAAAAACACAGACAATATCTAGTACTAAACAGTCTACCGTGGAGGTGTGGTACGTATTAGGCTACTTTAAGCGAATCCGGTCGACTTCGAAATTGAACTACGCCCCAGCAGTGATAGCACACAATGAGGCTGGTATGTGCTTAATTCTTCGAGAAAGAGAAGAGTAGAAACCGATTGAGTTTGCTCTAGGAAAATTTAAAGGAGATCAAACGAAAACTTTTCTAATTCCAAAAACCGACGTTCAGCGGTCGAGATTTTGTTACTCGAAGACCACAGAGCTGCGGAAATTTACTAACGATTGGTGAAGATGTTAGACAAGGAGGCCTCAAGCAAAAACACAGTACGTGAATGATGTAAACATTTCAAAAACGGGATATGAGTGTGGATTCGAAGGACAAGCAAGTATTGCCGTTTTTAACGAAAGCAAATGTAATCAATATTGAAAATTAAGTAAAAATGGATCCCCCGTGAATTGACGACAGCTTAGTTGGCAATGCATGTGTTAGACTCCACGTGCAATTTGCGGTAACTTAATTAAAAAAAATACCTGCCCGGAGCATGGGTTCAATCCGTAACGCAAGCCGGAAAGGAACCAGGCGACAAAATGGCGTGACTCAAGAAAGAAATCGAGTTTGGCGGCAATGTTCGATAAGTTCCAGATGTAAGGTAATGGTAGAATTTTCATTGGTTATAAGGAACACCTGCTACATCCAGATATCAGCCAAAAATCAGACAATCAATGGGGCCTGCTATCACACCCATGCACCGTTGGTAGAGCAATCAGAAACATACAGTCTGGTTACTGGATGACAACGCCAGACGTCAGCGCATCGATCGCTACCTTCAACCAGTTTATTCGTCTGGTCTAAATTCATGTAATTACAGGATTTTCTATATTATAAAAATGGCTTCTGGTGAGAAAGCATTTCTTCCCATGCATTTATTTCAAGAGCCCATATATAAAGACATTGCATATAGGAACATGGCTGTCCAGAAGCTGCCAGAGCTCTGGGACAGATGTGTAAACTATAAAGGAGAGTACTAATATTCAGTTCTCATTTTAAAACAATTTATCAAAAAATTATTCAGTCATTCAGTCCGCTGGATTCGCTTCTAGCAGTCGAACTTTTGTCTGCATTTAGCACTGCGTGTAAGCAATTCTACCCCAGAGTGAACCTGGATTCAGTAAAGAAATTTACCATAACAACAGGTAACTGTATATATGCTACTGGTGAGCCCACTGAGACAAAAAATGGGATCAAGAAGCATTCTAGGCCCAATCCTAGTTACCTTGTCCACTATGCGTAGTTGCTATCGAGAGGCAAAAAATTGTACACTGAACAGCGGATAAATCACCCGATGTTTGATTTGTATAAGTTAATGGGACTATTTGTCCACTCCAATAGGGAGGGTTTCACGCAAGCTAATCAGATTTAGCTGCTTGCCATTGGTTTTTATAACAGCCAGTATAACTAAAAAGTTTTGACGCTGAGATCTCTTATGCTACTTTAGCAAATCGAGAATTTGTCATAAAATTCACCAAAATGCCCTGATTTGGGAGATTTGCGTACTAAAACATCATACCATACTGGGTTTTTGTCTACTTCTTCTCTTGCTAATGTCAGCACGACATGAGGTACTTAGATTTCTCTTTGACCTTAATGCTGCGCAAAGGCCATAAGTCCTGTATGCACCATGTATTATGACAATGCATTTTTTTTATTAACGACTTTTTGCTAGAATTTAGCGAGCACATTATACCCGTGCATACTGCAACAAGTGTCTCTTGTAGAAACGAGATAGCTAGAATATAGATTTCAATTTGAACGCCTAAATAAAACGAACGTTTCGTAATACATTAAAAAAAAAAACCCTTTGAAGCCGTTAAGTGATATCGCTTTTTAAATATAATTTAGTTTTGCGAATACGGTTTTAGGGTTATGGAGAGAATAGAGTATGCCCTATCGTCATGAGCCGTTAAATCCATTTCGGTTAACGTGTTTATCATCAATCAACTTTAATTTGGCTTGCGATACGGCATTATATTAGTATCTACGGTAGCAACGGAGCACTTCGGAGCTGATTGTAGGCACTCGACAGCTAGGCATGAAAAGAGTTCCGCTTTGAGTTTTTTGGTTATTATACAAACTACTCAGGAACTCAAAACCGTTATCTTAGAACAACCGTAGAACAAAAAAGCTGAAAAATATTCAAAACTCGAAGAGTTTTTCAGGAAACGAAATATCCCTGAGGCGCTATTGCATTTGAGTAGTGAAGTATCAGAGTTACCCTACATCTAAATATCGTATGCTTCTTAAAAAGTTCACCAGTTTCAGTCACGTATCGTAGGTAGCTGTCTGACACGGCTATGTATTATTTGAGGCCTTTCATAAAACAATATTTCTGTTCAAGGTTCATTTATGACAAAACGATCAATTAAATCTATATTCCCAGCAACAAGCACAATATCAGCGTTATATGGACCTTAGAAACCGATCACTACCAGTCACTCGTTGAAAACCTGAAGAAGATTGGAGTGCTATTGCTAAACTCTTCTACTTCGAACCGAGATGTCAAAGGCATTTGGGCAACTAATGCCCACATTAAACACTTTTTTTCTATCTACGACGGTTTAATGGTGTGGTTTAATACGCACTGAGGCTGCTCACCGCACTGGTGTAGATTTTCTACGTTACTTTGTAGAACGGCTTGAATGTTGCCGAACGAGAGAATTTAAAAATTGATTAGAGTGAATTTACCCACAAGGTGCAACGAGCTGTTTTCAGTGATTTTATGCATTCAATTTAAAGCTATAGTACTTGCTTCTTCTTTAAGTCTTTTTTTTTTTTTACATTATTAGTCATGACTGTAGGATAGTTATCACAATACTCAGTAAGAAATACGCTCACCATTAAGAGAATCTTTCACGGTATCGGTAGATGCACGGTAAACAATGGCTGAGTTAGTGCGTGTTGAGAGAATTCGAGCAAGCATTTCCGATTCGTGCGACGCTTGCGCGTCAGTCGTGATAAATACAACGGCAAGAGGGGCTGCCAGCACGGTCTTTTCTGACGCGAGTACCTGCACCCTGGCAATCTGCAGCATGGCAAAGAAGTACAACAAAAATCAACATAAGTAGATCATAGCTAGTACGAACAGGCTTTCTTTAGTTCACGATTGACTGTCACTTCGTCTGAGGGAACTAATCCTAAGGAAAATTGTCATGGCTGCTTTATTGTTTTTAGGCTAAGCAGCTTGAATAAAGGATAGGTTGTTTTATATATATGTAGGTTTTTACACCGGTGAGTTGGAGGCGCTGTATAGGTCTAATTCCAAACTATCGTTAGACACAACTATACTATGGTGTGTATCACTTATTAAGCAGCTACTTCAGGGTAATGTTATCATCAAGAATTTGGCGTGTTTAAGAAAACCTCATGATGGGTTTAGCTATCAACGTCCCAACCTCTGTTTTAGACTATCATTAGCAGGAAATCCAGACCATTGACAAACTGAATTGAATCTATTCAGCTACATAGAACAAACTGAGAATATAGTTATGCTAAATATTACTTTTATTAATGGCACATAACACCATGTAATATTTCACTAGCTGGTATCTCTATTACTAGGAGAAGGGTGAAACTTACCCCATCGTAGTTGTGGGATTGCACAAGGAAATCGAATACCGAAGCGGAAACTTTGCTTATAGCTACCAGAACGGCCAAAACGGTCGCCACATGGTTACGACCCATTTCTTAGAATGTTTGTGGGTGTCTTTTTGAGAATGAGTGAGGCTTCCACAGGCTTTCCTATAGCAAGTGCCAAGAGAGTCTTGTCACATCATGCAGCACCGCTAGCCAATTCCGTTTAGGAGACACAGCACTGGCCCCTATTGACAGCTCAATCTCTGGTGAATCAATCGACCGCAGTGATCTTATATAGTTTGCGGACGGATTCGCGTCACTCACCGAATGACGCACTCCATCAAATGTGTTTTGCCTATGTAGCTGTGAGAGCAGACAATCAAATCCATGTGAGTGGCACGTCGCACTTGACGACACTTGAGCCGGACCTAACGTCCTGTAGGCCCAAATTTGGCTGTGTTTATTGTTGTCCAAGACAGCGATAGGCCATCATTCGTGTGTCGATCGCCTAGGCACCATAAAAAAGCTTGGTGTCTCGCTGCAGTCGAGTGATCAACAGGGCCACTGAGATCATAATATACTTCGGGCACATATAAATAGTCAGATTAGAAATTTCATACGTACGTATAGTTAATTTTGTGTGCGGGGTCTTGTTCAATTAGTCTTGAATGAAAGTGGTATATGACAGATTTTTGCGGTTATCGAATCGCTTCCTGGGCGGCTTAGCGGCCATTTCCACTGATTTATCTAAACGTATTAACACGGACGTTCATACCAGGCATAGAAGCAGGACAAAGACCGATACTAAAATCCGCTGTTTACGTCAGCCGCAACTACTCGGGTGAGTGATACAACACTAAGGGCGAAACCGCATGATCCTAGACAGAAAGCTGGAACGGCGTGTTCGCCGCCCGTCGACAAACTAAGCAAAGGAAAAAGACCTATTTGCTTACTATTGCTTCGTAAATGTCTCTTGGAATTTCATAAATTAATTTTCTGACCCAAAAGATCAACCTGTGTTTCAGGTCTTCAAATATATGCACTACATTAGCAAGTGTTTTTGTAAAATGGAAGATCGCATCAATTTGTTAGAATGCTACTCGATCTAAATCGGAAATCCTATTTTTCGGTGTTGCTTTCAACACGCTATTCCCTTATATGCATTGTGTACAATTTAGGCTATTTCGGTGTTTACGAACATTTTACCAATCAGGCGTTTTTGTTATATGCTACCAAGTAAATAGAAACAATAAAATACAAAAAATTATATTTTCTTGACGGACAGATTTGCCAATGGGAACGTGCCGTTTTCCAACACAATAAACTAATTTTCTGTTCACAGATCAGGTTTGCGTGTACATTCAAGCGTGCTATATTCGAAAGTCAGCTTAAACAGCGGTTTTATATACACTAGTGCAGATAGCTTGAAGACTAAAAGTTGTCATCAAAGAGTCGCCTTACAAATAGAGAAACAATAATGTAATTGTTGTTAATTTTAGCCCAGCGACTAAATGTACCGTAACCGTAATATCTCGTCGTTATGTAAGCATCCTTCTAGTCAATAGTGAATAATTTTCTCTAAATTTTTTTGCAAATATTAACATATTAACGAAAGTTTATTTCAGCAAGTCGATGCCTAGTCATATATACATATATTTACGTATGGTTTAAGTGAAATTGAATGAAGTTATGCTGTGACTTTCAGGGTGTTCTGCTGCGATATCTGAGAGATAATTATGTTTACGGCAATGGATGACGGCAATTCGCGTATCGTACAAAAATATAAACACGCTAATTATAACTATATACGCGTAGACGTTTGCTGATGTTCGTTTGGCTATACATACATATTGTAATACGAGTATATCCGTCGACTGAGTGCATCCTAGTTATTTAGTGGGTTTAAAATTGTCTGCGTTTCGCGTTTGGGATTGCTGTTCTATACGTGTAAGTAGGTTATAGAAGAAGGCGTCAAACTCGAGCAGGAAACTTAGACCAAGTGGCCAATCGTCATGCTTTCTCTGGGCGTTTCTCCGTGTTCATAAACGACGCGGGGATATCCTTTTTCCCTGTTCCGTCCCGCCGTAGCCGTCATCGCTTCGGAATTAAATTCTCGTAGGCACTGAACGCCGAGGAAGTGCGTATACGTGAAAACTACTTCAAATACCTGGCCAGCTGGGCATATTTCCATATTAGACGTTCACGCATCGCTAGATTGGGTGGACCTTGACAAGCATAATATTGCAGAACCACGACCGTTTTGATAATAAACCTGAGAAGGAATCTACTTAAAGTAAGACGCTTCATACCCTAATCACGTGCAGATTAGAGCTCTGTGGAAAAATATGACTGTATCGTCAAATATTAGATTGGCTGCGAACAGTGACCGCGTGAGATTACTGCTCAACTGAATAGGAAATAAATAAGTGCTTAGGAACGTCGCTAATGTTTGTAATAAGATCAATAAGGAACGGACTGCATTATCGTTTTTTCTGCCGTAAAACCACAAAGTCAGTCTATCAGACTTCGTATAGAGCCAGATCCAGCTCTTGTATGAAAATGGGCCCATTCCTATTGGTACCTAGCCATAGAATAACTCTAATTTTTAAGAACATAGACCCATAAACTCAAGATAAAATTACTGCAGTATATAGCCAAACCTTAGTATTTCCTATAAGCTAGTGTAAAGGTCTTCACAGAACTGGTTTACAGCTAATATATCATAATAAATTGATGTTCACTTACCCATAGATGGAGTATTGCTCGTTGTTGCCCAAATCATTAGACAAGCATATATCCAGTAAGCTTTAAGTGTTCGCTAACACCTTGGACTTTCTGCTATGTGGTCAAATCCAATTAATAGAGGCGATACACGGGTTACCATGTCAATGGTTATTAAAGACCACATGTGTACTTTTAATCAGCTGTTCTGCATAGTAGGTCGTAAATAGTTATTGCTTTGGAGACCTTTGCAGATGTCTTTAACGTGAAAGTCCCTATTCGCTTGATCGTATTGATCATCGAAGTAAGCGATGTCGGGGAGCCTTTAGCGGTAGAAAACTTTTTTCATTTTGACCTTGGCATTTGGCTCGACACCGTAAAATTTACCGGTGGGTTTAAAGTAAGCGTTGCTCGACTACGTTTCTGAAGGACGCGCAAAGAAGCATGAGGAATAAATAATTTCGTTCGCAAACTACACCCTTGGCGAGCCCAGCGTATTGCATGGGTCCTAGCTGGCCCTGGAAGTCGTCCTATGGTTTTTTGCAGTGACCCTGCTGTTTTCAACCCTAACAGAAAATAAATGAAATACGCAAGTAAGACAAATATGTAATTGTGTAAGATTTTTTCATGCCGTAGACTAAAATATTATGAGTCGTCTGAATTGTTGAGGATGGTTTGCCTGATTCTTTATTTCCAGTTCTTATTTATATGTGACTTTTTTGTAATTGAACATCAGGCTGCAGTCTCTACCGCATCTCTATGCTGTTTGAGTTAGCAACGTCAATGCGGTGAATCATACATGAACTTGATTGCATTTAGATAAAGCAGCAGAGTACCATTCACTACAAACTAATTTTAAATTTATCTGGGTCGCGGGCAGTAAATTTGAAATTTGTTATCCTATATGGTTTACTTGCGAGAAAATTGTCAATATATCGATAGTGCGGTTTTGCGTGATTTTTCAGCCTATTTATTAGGACGTTGCCTCCGTTGGCTAAGGGGCAGAGCATTCGTGGTTCGCTGGTATCTTACTATTACATACTATATTATATAAAAATATTATACTAAATTTCACTCAGAGGGATTTAGAAGTCAGGTCTTTGGGGACTTAGCAGTACTAAATGTTGACTTGGGTTTGCGAACCATCAATAAGCATAGGGTTTCAGTTTTAGCTTTATGACCACCATGTCGACATCCTTATAGACAGATGCTGTTGTTCCAGTGACGAGAATAAATAGCTACCCTGGTCCACTAATTAAAGCTTTCTGCTCGATACATAATGATCGCTTATTTGGAATGACGTAACTTTATCTATGAGATCACAAATTGAGATTAAAAATAAATTTTTTAAGTACGTTGAAAAACAGAGCCAAAAGGTCATCCTTCAATGCGCATTTAGCCGAATTTGTGTTCAGCGCTACAAAGACTGTACAATTGCATTCGAATGGAAAACCATTTTGCAGCTTGACAGTTGCGAAGAAGACTTGTGTGTTCATAACTCACGACCCCCATGAGGTTTTCGACAGGGATGATGGGCATCATGCGCTAACCTGTTAGGTGCGGTATGAACAGTGGTATATTTTAAAGAGAAACCTATTGAAAAATAGAGGCCTCCTGCTGCCATATTGCCAATAAAATATTGAGGTTCTTGTTCATCTGACAATAATGGAATAAAACTATTTCCAAAGCAGAATCAGGTTTTGTTTTAATAGTAGTTGGGGATAAAACGTACTGCCTAATGTAGATTTCTTAAAATGGACAGCAAGTAATTAGTCGAACTAACAATATATTGTACTCTTAAGTAGTTATTTAATAATGGCTGCAGTAGGTAGAGTAAATTATTTCCTTGAGCACTCATTTATTAACAACTCGTTCCTCTTAAGGAAAGAGGTCATAGACCGAAACACTCGTTTGAAGGGGGGGGGGGGGTCTTCTCAGCTGGCGACGGCGTTTTCGGGGGAAATTGGCAGTAAAGGCCAAAGATAGATGGAGTCACACATATAAATGTTCAAGATTCGTGCATTTAGTTTTTAGTCCGGTCCATCAATACAGTGTATGGTGGGCCATTTTCTAACAGATCATATACCAACAAGTAATCTTTACAGGTAGTATCAAACCTGTCGCATAACCAACAGACCAGACATTCCGCTCAGAAGACGTATCTTCGTACGTTACCTGTAGTGCTTCAACCTTCATGCGTTGACATGAATGTTTGCTGTTCGTGTTGCAAAGGTGTATGTCATCCAATTAAGCGATGTATTGCGGGAAGGTCTTCATCCAAAATTCTTATGAGAGGTTTACCTTCTCACAAGGTGCTCTGACAGTTTTTGGCGTAAAAAGTTATTTCTGCCAAGAGCCTTCTATTTGGAATATCATAAAGAGAAACTGATTTAAAAAGAGTGGTGAATGACACTTCCTTATTGTTCAGAGCGGAAAAATCTTGCGTCTCTGAAGAGGCTTCGGTCTATGATTTATTGTCGAGTTCGTCTGAAAAAGCTGGTGCGGAGCCCGGGCAG